CAATATTGAAAGATTCTATTGGCAAAATATTGAATGATGCAGCATCAAAAGAAGATGGAAGGAATACACAGAGTCACTGTACCAAAAAGAACTGGTCGATCTTCATCCATTTCAGGAGGTGGCATATGTTCAAGAACCAATGGTATTGAAGGAAGAGGTCGTAGCTGCACTGAGGGAATTGGTGAGAAACAAGGCTCCAGGAATTGACAGAAGACTCATTGAGATGGTATTGGTCAGGTTGTCAGAAAGGACCATTCCCTGGAGAAGGATGTCATGCTTGGTAAGGCGAAGGGTCGATGAAAGAGGGGAAGGTGAGGTGGATTGACACGGTGGCAGTGGTGATGGGCTCAAGGGTAGCAAGAATTGTGGAGCTGGCTCAGGATTGGGCAGCATTTCATTCTGCTGTGCATAGGGTCTCTGTGAGTTGGAAACAACTCGATGGCACCTAACAACAACAACAACAACAACAAAAACAACCATCCCCCAGTAATCGAGGCTGTGTATGAAATTTCTACTGTTAAATGAGAGGCTTTTTAGAATCAGAACATCTGGTCTTCATTCCTACTTATCTGAACAATAACTTGTAAAATTTTTTTTTTTTTTTCGGTGCTTTAGATGCAAATTTACAGAACAAAGTTTGTTCTACATTTGACATTTCATCTGTATTTGGTTTTGTTCCCCAATTACCATCCCCCATCCTAACCCACTCTCCTCACTTCCCAGTACCCACTCCCCCGTGCCCTCATAGCTATATACTCCTTTGTGTCCTGGATTTCCTCCCTGCACACGTAGCTCCTCTGGTGTCCCGTGGTCAATTGCTCCAAGGGATGAATCTCCATAGAGTCTGTGGGGGCATCACCTGGATTGAGTGGTCTGCATATGTCTTGTTTACTGTTTGGGCTGAGAGCCAGCCTCTGGGAGTGAGTTTTATTCCAGACCCAAAGTGTATCCCAGGGCCATAGTATTGAGGGTCCTGCCAGACTCCATCTGACCAGTAATTCTAGTCATTTTTTGTTTTTGGATTTTGTTCCATGTTCCATGATTTTCCTCCCACTCTATCCAGGATCTCCAGTTTTGATCCTTTCTCAAGTGGCTGGCATTTGTAGCTGGACATCATCTAGTTCTTCTGGTCTTGAGGTCCATCATGTCCTAGGGCTGAGTGATTTTGCATTCTTCTTCACTTCCGATGCTAGGAGACCGTTAGCTGCATCTTAGATGGCCACTTAAAATCTTTTAAGACCCCAGTTGCTGATGTAGGATGAGGAGCAAGGCTTTTATGTATTTTGTTGTGCCAGTTGAGTCTGGTGTCCCCCAGTACTATAGTTCTGAGATGGTAGATCTATTGGATCTCTCTCCCATAGTGTCTGGTTGTCTGTGAGGGATTACTCTGTGTCTGTCTTCTATTGTTTCTGTAAGGACTGCAGGTATTTTGTATCACTGGTGTCTGCGCAAGATTAGCCTCAGCTGAATCTATCCTTGGTCTAGAGTATACTTCTGTTTACTGATCCCCGCCTGATCATCTCAGGTGTTTATTTGTAGTTTGGTGTTAATGGCAATGCAGTATTGTGGACACATTGGTTGGTATTAGCATCTGTCATCTATCCCTTAGGTGCACAATTCGGTGTCCTCGCATTTCCTAATGTTATCATGGTGGTCACAGATCCTTCCCGTATATCCCTCCCCCTACCCACATCAGCGTGTGGTTCCCAACTGGCTCAAAATTAATCCCTTACCTTCCCTCCTCCTCCTGGTAACCTACTGAGTTCCCTTTCCCAAGCAAACCCTTCTCTGTCTTTTTATAGTAATGGGCTCATACAGTACTTGTCTTTCTGCGATTGACTTATTTCACTCAGCATAGTGTCCTCCAGGTTCATCCACATTGTGAGATGATTTGCGTTTCTTTAATGCAGCACAGTATTCCATTGTGTGCATGTACCATAATTTGGTTATCCACTCATCCATTGATGGGCATTTAGGTTGTTTCCATCTCTTTGGTATAGTGAATTGTGCTAGGATGAACATAGATGTGCATATGTCTGTTTGTTTGCTATCTCTCACCTCTTTAGGCTATATTCCTAGTAATGGAGTTTCTGAGTCAAATGGTACTTCTGTTTTCAGTTTTCTAAGGAAACGCCATACCGTTTGCCACAATGGTTGTATCATTTTACAATCCCACCAGCAGTGTACAAGAGTTGCAGTCTCTCTGCAACCTCACCAGCATGTTATTTTCTGACCTGTTGAACTTTGCTATTATTGCTGGGGTGAGATGATATCTCATTGTTGTTTTGATTTGCATCTCTCTAATGATTACTGATCGTGAGCAATTTCTCATGTGTTTATTGGCTGCCTGTAT